TTTAAACATGAATACATTTAGAAAATGAAAATTTCTTTCATTTAAAAACTTTAAAAAGTTTGCCAGAAGGATTTAAGAGCTATTAAACCTATTTTGATTGGTCTTTCATAATGTATACTCCTCTCTTCAGAACTGGGAGGGTGGTAGCCATTTCTTTAAAATGCAGATGTTCAGGCCCTACCTCAGACCTGCGGAATTGAGCTTTCTCTGGATGGGGCCTAGGAGCCTGCATTTTCAGATAGACCCTCTCCTCGCCCGATGATTTTTAAGTGTACAATAGAGTTTGAGAGCTAGTTTGTTCTTTTTTTTTTTGGCCTTCTTAAAACCTGTTTTCTTTCAATAATGTGCTGTCTGTGATGGACATTGAAATATTTCCAATAAATTTCCAAATATTAAGGGAATATTTGAAAAACATTGATAGTTTTGTGACCCACAGTTTGAAAAACATTGATAGAGGGGATGGGAGAGAGGAACCTTCTAAAGCCAGACTCAAAGCCAGAAGCTATAAAATAAAAGTAAATATTTGACTAGAACAATGCAATTTTATTTTATGCCTATCAAGTTGGCAAATAAATAAATAATGCTGATTTTTGGCAGGGAGTGGGGTAAATGAGAGAATGGCTCTTATCTGTTCCTAATGTAAATGGCAATTGTTATGACTTTTTTTGGTAAGCAATCTGGTAAGACCTAATAACATTAAAAGCACATATATCCTTTTACCTAGGAGTTTAACTTGAGAACTTATTCCATAGAAGTAAAAAGGACACTGCTTAAGGGTATATTAACAAGTATGCTTATTGCGTTATTATTTCCTAGTGACGAAAAAATGGGGAATGAAGTGAATGCACATCATTAGGAGACTGGTTGAGTAAATTAGGCCATATAAATGCCATGGAATATTACTCAGCCATTAAAAAGAATCTGTTATTAGTAGGAAGGATATTCATGAGGTACCTGTACAATCCTAGCTATGCATGTATGTAAGTTATTTTAATATGATTGAACCCGGGCACAGTGGCTCATGCCTGTAATCCCAGCACTTTGGGAGGTTGAGGTGTGTGGATCACCTGAGGTCAGGAGTTTGAGACCAGCTTGGCCAAAATGGCAAAACCCCATCTTTGCTAAAAATACAAAAATTGTCTGGGCATGGTGACATGCTCCTGTGATCGTAGCTACTTAGGAGGCAGAGGCAGGAGAATCATTTGCACCCGGGAGGTGGAGGTTGCAGTGAGCCAAGATTGTACCACTGCACTCCAGCGTGGGTGACAGCAACACTCCATCTCAAAAAAAATTGAAAGTTTTGAGTGGTGCAAAATATAGGAGGGAATAGACAAATGGGATCTAATTAAACTCCAGAGCTTCTGTGCAGCAAAAGAAACAACTGTTAGAATGAACTGGCAACCAACAGAATGGGAAAAAATTTTTGCAACCTACCCATCTTACAAAAGGCTAATATCCAGAATCACAAAGACCTAAAATAGATTTACAAGAAAAAAAAAAACCCATTCCAAAGTGGGTGGAGGATATGAACAGACACTTTTCAAAAGAAGACATATATGAGGCCAATAAACATATGAAAAAATGCTCATCATCACTGTTCATTAGAGAAATGCAAATCAAAACCACATTGAGATACCATCTTGCCAGTTAGAATGGCTATCATTAAAAAATCTGGAGACAACAGATGCTGGAGAGGATGTGGAGAAATAGGAACACTTTACACTGTTGGTGGGAGTGTAAATTAGCTCAACCATTGTGGAAGACAGTGTGGTGATTCCTCGAAGATCTGGAAACAGAAATTCCATCTGACCCAGCAATCCCATTACTGGGTATATACCCAAAGGATTATAAATCGTTCTGTTATAAAGACACATGCACACGTATGTTCCTTGTGGCACTGTTTACAATAGCAAAGACCTGGAACCAACCCAGATGCCCATCAGTGATAAACTGGACAAGGAAAATGTGGCACATATACACCATGGAGTACTATGCACTCATAAAAAACGATGAGTTCATGTCCTTTATAGGGACATGGATGAATCTGGAAGCCATCATTCTCAGCACACTGACACAAGAACAGAAAATCAAACACTGCGTGTTCTCACTTATAGCCGGGTATTGAACAATTAGAACACATGTACACTGGGAGGGGAGCATCATACCCTGGGGTCTGTTGGGGAGGTATCTAGGGGAGGGACGGGGAGGGTGGAGAGGTTGGGGAGAGATAACATGGGGAGAAATGCCAGATATAGGTGACAGGGGGTTGGAGGCAGCAAACTACCTTGTCATATCTGTACCAATGCAACAGTCCTGCATGATCTGCACATGTACCCCAGAACCTAAACTACAATTAAAAAAAAAAAAGATGTTAACAGGGTTGTCTGTTAAGGAAGTAAATTATTTGGACAGGGAATGAAGCCTAACAAAAATGAAAAGGGTGAAAAACCACACTAAAACAGAAATCTCTGTAGCATAATATACTTATGCATTTGTGTAAGAGACTATACAGTGTGTATATATTTATACTATATGTATATGTATGTAGTATATATGTAAGTATGTATATGTATGTTAATTTTAAAAAGCAAGGAAAAAATATGTGTGGAAATTAGTTGTCTTTTGATGGTGGTGGCTCCCTATCAGAGCTTTCCCTTTTCTCCCTTATATTGGTGAGAGTACTTATTTCAGGGGGACACCAGGATATCCTTTGGGGAATTCTTTATAAATCATGAGGAAACTGAGGCAATTTTAGTAGTCAGATGCATTTGTCCTTCCTTTGAATTGTGAGTGCCTTGTTAGATGTTGGTCCATTCCTCCTGCCTACCCATTTTCAGGGAAAGATCCAGAGGAGGAGGAGGGAGAGTACAAGATGTTTATAGGGTCACTGAAGGGTACTTGGGCCCAGAGTCCCTCAGATTCCAAAGGAAGCTGAGTAGATTGAATTGGATGGGAGGGAAAATGTATGGATTCCTGTGTATGGAAAGGAGAAAGAAAGATAGTTTGGGACCACACTGTTAATGACTTTGACTCTCATGCTAAAGAGTTTGATTTTCATTCTTTATGTCTGTGATTCTCAAATGTTGTATGCTCTTCTTTTTAAAAAATTCTTTAAGTATTTTTCTTTATACTTCAGTAGAGTTAGTCTTAGAAAAGTGTCATATGCTGTTGATGTTTGGTGAGCTGGGATGAGGTTTCTCAGGATAAAATTAAACAATGCCAGTCTCTTTCCAATTTAAGGAAAAAGTAGCTTTTGGGGATAGAACTTTTTTTTTGCTTTTTTGAGATGGAGTCTTGCTCTGTTGCCCAGGCTGGAGTGCAATGGTGTGGTCTTGGCTCACTGCAACCTCTGCCTCCCAGATTCAAGTGATTCTCCTGCCTCAGCCTCCCAGGTAGCTGAGACTCCAGGTGCCTTCCACCACGCCTGGCTAATTTTTGTATTTTTAGTAGAGACAGGGTTTCACCATATTGGCCAAGCTGGTCTTGAACTCCTGACCTTGCATTCCACTTGCCTTGGCCTCCCAAAGTGCTGGCATTAGAGGCGTGAGCTACCGTGCCCAGCTAGGTATAGAACCTTTTAAACATTAATAATAACTATGTAGTTTGCTTAAACTGCTTGCTGGGCAAACATATTTCAGAACAAGGAGAAAGTGGAAGTTAACAGAAATGAATTGGAAAGGGGTAACCATCATTTATTCTTTTTATAAGTGTGGCATTTATGGTTGTAATATTTACGTTGCATTCATACGGATATGTTTTCTGCAGCTGACATCCCTCATATGTGCAGTAGACTTAACGTATCGTTTCATGGAGTATGTACAGTGTAGGCAAGAGCAGTACATGCCCTGGACAGTGTATGGAATAGGGAGAGGCAGCATGTGTCATGGCTAAGACCATGCCATGGAGCTTAACAGATGTGGGTTGAAAACCACCTCTGGCTAGGTGCGGTGGCTCACACCTGTAATCCCAGCACTTTGGGTGGGAGGCAGAGGTGGGTGGATCACCGCCTCAGGTCAGGAATTCGAGACCAGTCTAGCCAACATGGTGAAACCCCGTCTCTTCTAAAAATACAAAAATTAGCTGGGCATGGTGGCATGCACCTGTAATTGCAGCGACTTGAGAGGCTGAGGCAGGGGAATTGCTTGAACCTGGAAGGCAGAGGTTGCAGTGAGCTGAGATTACACCACTGCACTTCAGTGTGCCTGGGCAACAGAGCAAGACTGTCTCAACAAAAACAAAAACAAAAAACCCTAGCTCTACCCTGTTACAACTTTGAAGCTTCAGGTAAGAAGCAAACCTTTCTGTGCTCTAGCATCTTCATCTGTGAAACAGGGATAATGTTACTGAATGTTCATAGGGTTGTTTTAGTGATATGAGTAGCATGTAGTAAATGCTTAATAAGTGGCAGCTCTTAATATGTTTCCTGAAGAACACTGCGACTTCCCAGTGTTCCACTACTGAACATTTCAGCACCACTATTGCGGAGAATGAAACAGTCTCAAATAATTTTTAAGTGCAATTTGAGGACAGTGCTGAGACATTGCAGGGATATGTATCCAGCAGCTAGTAGGTACTCTGAAACTGTTGACTGAAAATCTGGGTCTTAGTAAATTCTCCTGTCTTCCCCTTCCTACTTAGGCCATTCCATTCTCCCATGTTTTTCTATCTTGAAACCATTGAATTCGAGGGTTCCTTCATGCAGTGAATGTCCCGTATCTAATCATGTTATTTCCCTGCCCAATCGCCGTTTTCTCCAGCTCTGCCCCAGGGCTTCTGAGGGCTCTTGTAGCTTCAGAGAGCTTCAGGATCTGCCTTCCTATCTAATCTCACCCTGAGGTTCTGGGACATTCCCAGAACATTTAGATACATTTTTTTCTGTCTTCAGAGGCAAGATGTTTGCAGCATTCTTTATCATACAAAAAGTCTATACATCTGTTTTACTTATTTCTATTAATTTCCAGTAGTGTAATTTGACATGCATTTCTGTTTTGTCTTTTCAGGTGCCATTTGGATTGTACTTTAGTGGCACAATGTACTCTGAGTGGAGGTCACTGCATTTGGTGATTCAGAATGATAAAGGCCATACCAGTGTGCTGCACAGCTATCCAGAGAACGTTGGGCGAGAGGTGGCAAATGCTGTAGTCCGTCCTCTTGGGCAGGTGTTAGGTACCCCTTCAGTGGCTGGTAGTGAGAGTTTGTTAAAAACTGACAAAGAAGTAAGTGTTTCTAAATTTCATTCTATTGTAAGAAAATGCACATTTGTTTTTGAAGAATTTGTTTAATGTTGACTTTTTTTTTCTTTTTTCTTTGAAAAGAGCTGTAATAGAATAACATCAGCTTTCTAATGGATTTCTGCCCAATGTGGTGTGACTTGCAATTTTGATCTTGTTTGAGTTGAGGGCTGGGACTCAGAGTTTATGGAGGTTATGAGAAATGAGTTGCACTGTGTCGCTGCTGGGACTTTTTACTAGTTATGGTTAATTCTCCACTTGAGCTAAAGGCCAAGACAGAGACTTCAGTATCAAACCGTTTCCCCAAAGCTCTAGTCTCAGTCTTCCGATTTCCATTTAGAGTGTGTTTAGAAGGCCTCATCCCTACCTCGAGATGGCCTCTGACTGAAGACTCATCTTCTGTCGAGTTGAAAACGTGTATGCTGTGCTTAAGCTTTTCCCTGTTCCTGTCCCTACCTGCCCCTTCCTAGCTTCCAGGCTTAAGAGTGATGCAGAGAAGCCAAACCCTTCTGGCCTAAGCCTAGGTGATTGGAATTGGGGTTGTGTTTCTTTTTTTTTTTGTCACAGAGTCTTGCTTTGTCACTGAGGCTGGCATGCAGTGGCATGACCACAGCTCACTGTAGCCTCAGTCTTTGTGGGGTCAAATGATTCTTCCATGCCAGTGAGTCCCAAGTAGCTGGAACTAGATACAGACATGTGTCACCACACCCAGCTAATTAAAACAAAATTTTTTGTAGAGATGGTGTTCTCACTATGTTGCCCAGGCTGGATGTTTGCTGTTTCTAGAGGTAGGGGCTGTTGGAATGGCTTGCCCTGAAGCTGGCCCTTTGTTCTTTCTTGGGTTCAGCGGCCTGGGCTGAAGTTAAATTGCCATTGGGAAGGTGCGATGGGGCCCTGAGAACGGAGTGATAGAGGAGCTTACTAATATAAATTCTGGCTAAGATGCAGGATTAAAACTTTGTCCCTTGTGTTGAAGAAGCTCATGCAACCTTCAGAGTTCATGTTTAGGAAAACCTGTACCCTATTTCTCAGATCCTTTTTTCTGTTTGCTTTTTGGTTTCTTATGAAGGAGAGATTAGACTTAGATATAAGACTAAAACTTGTAGTTCTAGGGGCAGTTATCCCTCAGCCGTGGGTCACTGAAGAGAAAAGGTCCTCAGCATTTTCTCTCTTCAGAAGACCCTAGATTTCTCCTTGAGGATTAGCACAGGCCCTAGTGGTTCTCCTGGTGCGTTGGGGATTCCTTATTGCCTTCTCCTGGGATGAGATGGTACATGAGTAGATAGAGGTGCTCTGGTACAGCCCTTGTTTTTCTCCTTTCTCACTGTGTCCTCTAGAATTACAAAATTAAATGATTTTGTGAAGATGTCACCAAAGATATCTTCTCCTTGGTTTTTTATCTGATAATTAGGGACTTGCAGTGTCTTTTAGAATCTCTTCTCTTATGTGGCTAAATCTTGCTACACCCTGCTCCAAATTTGTCACAACTTCATTGTGCTGTTGTAGGCTTCTTTATTATTTATGCAGTTAAACCATATATTTCCTACCCTTAGCCTTTGTAGTTGCTTTTGAGCTTAAAAATTTAATACATATATTTATCTTGTTAGATTTGATTTTGGTTTTAAGCTTTTAAAGTCTTTTTGAATCCTGAATTTCTGTCCAATAAGTTGGTCATCCTTTTTAGCTTTGTGATGTCTACAGATGATCAACATATAATGTTTTTCTTTTTTTTTCCCTTAAGTTAAAATCTTAGCAGAGACTTTGGCATGCCACTGAGCACCTTTTTCCAACATGATCTTGACACATTAATCTACTGTTACTCTGTCATGTGTTATCTTGACCTGTTGTAAATCTAGCCATTCTACCATTCTCTGGGCCATATGTTTCCATCTTGTCCGCAAGGAGATCTTGGGTCTGTTCAGATTTCTTGCCAATACCCAGATACCCATTTGCCAGAGAACTCTGTTAATGGCATGGTGAGAATAGCTTCAAATTTCTAGTTGGAAGACCAGGGTTCAAGTTTTCAGCTCCGCTTTTTATAAACCAGTGACTTGTGCCAAATTGCTTAATCTTGCTAAGCTTCTGTTTTCTTATGTGTAAAGTAAGGATAGTTTACTCTGTCTACACAGGGTTATTGTGATGGCTAGGTGGTATTTATGAAAGTGCTTTGCAAACTGCAAGGACTACATCGTTGTCAGCCCTCTAAATAGTAACCCTATTAATAAAAGAATGAAGCTGATTTGGCATGACTTGATCTTTTTGAGTAAGTTGAGTCTTGGATCATGCTTCTCTTTTTTGTTGTTGTTGTTGTTTTTGAGACAGAGTTTTCGTTCTTGTTGCCCAGGCTGGAGTCCAGTGGGGTGATCTCGGCTCACTGTAACCTCCGCCTCCCAGGTTCAAGTGATTCTCCTGCCTCAGCCTCCCGAGTAGCTGGGATTACAACACCTGGCTAATTTTGTATTTTTAGTAGAGACGGGGTTTCTCCATGTTGGCCAGGCCAGTCTCAAACTCCCGACCTCAGGTGATCCACCCGTCTCGGCCTTCCAAAGTATTGGGATTACAGGCATGAGCCCAGCCTCATGCTTCTCTTTTATAAGTGTTCACTGATTGCTTAGTAATTTGTCTCAAAGTTTGGTTTGGAATTCACTTAAGCTTTCCAGTTTACAATGTCTGGAATGCAGTTTCCTCCTTTTTTTTTGGCAAATTAGGGTTTCTCATAGATGGAGACATAACTGGTCAAGTTACTACATGACAGAATAATAGTAGACTAATGTGCCAAAATCATTTTGGAAAAAGGCGCCCAGTGGCACCTTCTAGTTGGAAGACCAGGATTCAAGTTTTCAGCTTCACCTTTTATACACCAGTGACTTGGGCCAGATTACTTAATCTCTACAATTCTTTACGACTGCAGGCAGTGGTTCAGCAGTCTCTTAGACAAGTTCTCTCAGTCCCTAGGATTTGATTCAGGTAGGTCAGGAGGCTGAGACTCATTCAGTGCAGCTAAATGCCTTGTTAATATCTTACCCAGCTTCAATCCTTTCTCAGCTGTGTTTGTTCTTCATCTTAAGTACATTTTTTTTTTGGGGGGGCATAGAAAACAGTTGTAAAATTAGAGTCAAACAGTTCATCTTTCTTCCTGTTATTTGTCCATTTGCATAATCTGGAGATGGAATGTGACCGACTATATGATTTTCTAAATGCTACATATACTCATACACATTAAGTGGAGAAAAAAACTCTAAAATGTTCTGTTTTTGCATCTCTAATCTCTATGGAAAATTGAAATGATCTGTATTTACTTTTTAGTTCACAGAGCAAATAATAATATTATCTAAAGGGTAAAAACCAGCATAGGCTTAATATTTAAAAATAAGTAATTTATTTTCTTCTTAAATCCTTTGCTTGGGAAATTGTATGTTTGATATGTGAAAAATGCATTCTCTAGAATAAATCTGATATTTATACTGAGACGAATATACTGTCAATTTAGGGGCTTTTTGCAGTAAAAGAGGTTAACATTTTAAATCAGTCTACTGAGATAGGCATGCATAATAATTCTATGTGGATATTTTCTTTTGTCTAGGTAAAATGGACCATGGAAGTAATTTGCTATGGACTGACCCTTCCATTGGATGGAGAGACTGTAAAATACTGCGTTGATGTATATACAGACTGGATTATGGCTTTAGTGTTGCCGAAAGATTCTATTCCATTGCCAGTTATTAAAGAGCCGAATCAATATGTTCAAAGTATACTAAAACACCTACAAAATCTTTTTGTACCAAGGTAAGCTATACCTGCCTATCTTGCCCATTAACAGGGTCATAGTAAAATATTCATAAATGTTACTGTAGTATAAGGAGCTGATTTCATTGTTCATCATCTGAACAATGACTCCATGCGTTCAATTAAAGATTGTATTAATGTGAATGTTAGGAGAGATGGGCTTATATAATGTTTACTAGGAGTTTTTAACAGGTATGTGATCTTTAAAGGTTTTTGGCTTTGCTTCTAAAATCTCGTAACTATTAGATATTAAAATACTGTAACATCTTTCCCTTCTACTCAAAAAAATATATGCTTTTGCCTATCACAATTCTTGTCTCTCTTTAGGCTAAAGACAACTGAGGGAAATGCATCTACCTTAACAGGCATCTTTCCTATGAGAGAATGAAGACACTTGAAATTATTATGGGCAAATTTATTTTAAGCCAAAAGATACCTCTTGATAGTTTGTTACTGATTTTTTTTTTTCCCATCTTCTGAGGCAAGGGCCTTAAGTATCATAATGTAGGATACCTTTAAGGAGCAGTAGGGCATGTCTCCTCTTGGTAAAGTTCTGGTTAGGGTTTTTGGTCTGTCATATGGTGAGGGACTTTGAAAACCAGCTATGTAAGTTTTAACTTTATAAATATAGAAGGACGATTACTTTGGAAAATCTGAATTAAAAAAGAAGTCCCCATTAAGAACTCTGGTCTGTAGGCTCAGGGGTAAACAGCATGAAATGCCTGCTGTAGTGTGGCTCCTGAACAGACTACTGCT